TTCAACAAATAATGTGTAGCATCCATACTTATCAACATTGCACTCCTTTGTGATAGATTCCCTGATTCCATCGTGGACACCATCAACTGCTGACTTTTCGTCGCAACTCCCAGATTTAAAAGGCACATGAATACTTGGAGATGCTAAAGAGGCTGGATTTGGTAATGGATGTACTGGAGGAACAGGAGCATCAGAATTAGAAATAATACCTCTTTTAACAACAAGATTCTTCCTTGCCATCTCAATGTGCAAAAGAGACTTCAACTTAGAATCAAAAACCATTTTCTGGAGAGCATCCTTGGCAGCAACTGCAAATTCTGCATTTGAGAAGAGAGCGAAACCCTTAGGCTTTTCTCCTTTATAACTCAAATGAGAATCTTCAAAGCCTGGAAGCCATCTCAGAAGATTCTGCATTTCTCTCTCTTTGACATCTACAGGCAGACCCATAATGAAGATGGGTACGAACCTCCTCAAGATGAGAAGGGAAAGATGACGGAGAAAGCGCGTCTGCAGAGGATGAAGGAGTTTGGCCCTTCGATTTCTGCTGGACAGAAGGGATGATTCCAGCACCCCGCATGAAGAAAACCGTTGAAGTAAAAACAACCCAGGGACTTGACGGAACTGTTCTGTTAGCGCCCGACGATGGAAGCTGTGACTGCCGACGATGGAGGCTGTGACTGCCGGCGATGGAGGCTGTGACTGCCGGCGAAAAAAGAAGGGAGTAGGTGATGAATAGAGTCCAACAGGTAGATATAGGACAGGCGATGAGACGCTGGCAAAACAGAAACCAAGGCGTAAAGATCTTTGACGGAGAAGAAGATGCGTCGCCAACAACTGAAAGCCGAAGGTCCTCGTCCCAGATCCACTGAGTTGAAGGCTCACCCTAACATAATGATGCCTAGAACTGAGATGATGGCGCCGAGATGAAAAAACCTGGAAGATTTGGTGGTCAACATCCACCGGATGTGGCAACCGACGCGGTGACAAACGGCGGCGGTGGGTGGCGGACGGCGGCGGCGGACAACGAATGAATGTCGGAGGAGATGAGATTGTTGAACCATATTGTAAAATTGCATATGCAATTGCAAATAGAAAATACACCTGACCATATCCATAAATGTATCTATATATTGGCATGCTAACTTCAATTTCTTTCATAAAATATGTGTCTTTCTTACATCTTCTGTCTCCCAACGACACCAAAGATCATGGTTTCCAGGTACAAAAAAGACATGTTCAAACCTTTCCTTCAAGAGAGACATGGTCAAAACGAAGTTATCATAGGTCTCTGCTACATCACCAGTAACAAGAAGAACATCTTTGTCATGCCTCTTTGTAGACAAATTCCTCACCCATGCCATATTCTCAGGATAGTCTGTATGTAAGTCCGATAGCACAAAAACCAGTAGGCCAAAACCATCTTTCTTTGCAGCAGACACTACCTGATGCCTTTTAATGCAATCCCTCTTTATGCATCTCCTATACTTTTTGAATGTTATCTTCTCACAGAAAGAGTATGAAGATAAGCTCAAGCATGAGGTCATGAGTGTTTTTCAGTCTCAAGGCAATGAAACAGTGAGACAACCAAATTGCTTCGATTTACCAATAATCCAGCTGATGATCAACAAACAGGTAATCACAAAACATTAGCTTATTTGTTACCTTCCAAAGGTTGAGAATCTATCCACTAATCAAATACAACCTCCACCAACTAAATTAACTAACTCGTATATTGGCAAAGTCTTAAACATGCCTATGAATGCCAAAGAAATACTAATATATTTCTGAATAACTGATTTTTTTTCTGACAACACCAAACCAGAGACAAAACATGCATACTAGAATTGATATCCTATATAACTAAACCTTGCAATTATTCGGTTATTACCTCACATTTCAACACTTTCTAACGGGGAAACATAGACACAAAACGCAGCTCAACTCAATGTGTAAGCAGTTGACCTTTGCAAACATTTTAAAAGAAGCAAACTGAAGCTCTACATGGAATTTATTTCCAACGGATGCTAAATGACAAAGTCCTCTTCAGATTATTGTTATTTTGGAACTACTCTTCTAAAGACTTTATTCGTAAATCTGGAGGATTTTTTACATATTTTCTTCGAATTGGCGGTGCACATTCTGAGGCTAAAGCCCGCATATAATCCGAGGGTATGTTTGCAGGTAGAATCACAATGGGCACTGAATTGAAAAGAAAATTTGCTTACCTGCTTTCCTTCCAAAACTGCTCGTCCCCGATCCAAACGAATAAATGAAAGAATTTGGAGGATGACTAGAGTATTGTGGAGCGGTTCCAGCACATGAACCGTCCGATTTGGTGTTTCTGTTATTCATCGTTGGATTCAAATATCATGTTTGTTGAATTGAACGAGTACGAGACAAATAGGTACAATCCGGTTATTTTTAAAAATAAATTATTTGATTTTTCGATTTTTTATATTATTTTTAAATTTAATTTGTAAATTTTATTCTAAAATATGATTTTGTGTTATGTTTAATGAATTTTAAATTTTTAAAATTTAATTTTAAACTTCAATTTCCTTCAATGAGAAAACATGGGACTTACTCATTGACAAAAAAAAATCCACCCTCCCATTGGCAGTGAGAAAGTAACCAAGGCTTGTTGAATACATGGGCTACGAGGATAAGGTTATTATCAATCTCACACCAATTATGGGAAGATTTAATGTAAAAGTAAGTGTTCAAAATATATCTTAGGTTAACTTTAAGTGTTTAAGGAAATTCTAGTTAAAAATATATGTCTAACGTTATTTTCGTTACACTTTCAAATGTTTTTTTTATAATTTTAAAATTTATTACCCAAAAGGAAGCAAAACATTACTACAACCAACAAAATCACATAAAACCCAACAAAACCACACCCACTAGGGGAGATATCCCAAGCCCCACACATCTGGAAATTAACCAACTTTACTTGAACAAGACGCTTTCTACTAAACTGGACTTGAACCACTTCAATAATTTGACTTAAAACACTTCAATAATTTGACTTAAAACACCATCAAATGAGCTAGAAAGAGATTGAAAGATCTTGTTATTCCGTTCAAGCCACACAAAGTACAAATGAGCATTTCACACCACTCTCAAGATAGAAGAATTACCCTTGAGCAGAGAAATAGCTCAATTGAGCTCCTGATCCCAATCCATAACATGTCGGTGCACATTACACAACTTTAGCACCCCTCCTCATATCAGCTTAGAGAACGGACAAGAGAAAAACAAATGGTCTTGCAACTCTAGCTGACCACAAAACACACTGACAATCCACCAAAACCTCCCAACGTAACAATCGATCCTTTGTGAAAAGCCTTCCTAAAATGACAAGCCAAGCAATGACATCATGCTTGGGTACATTAAGGGGGAAACCACACCAATTTATGCCAACAAACAACATCACTACTAGTCTTGACCTCAAACCAGATCCAAGCAGTGGTAATCAAACACCAGTCAGTCACACTCCCAAGCAACAAAAAAAGCCCCCTCCCTAGCATTGAGGATCCGTCTCACACACCAACTGAAGTGAGGTTTGGTTCTATCTTGCCATAAGTTAGAACCCTTCAAAAATAAATTAAATTAAATTAAATAAAAAATATTTTTTATCTCATTTACGGTAAAACAAAAAAGTATCATTCTTTCTCTTCTCACTCTCTCCTGACCTAACCTCTCCTCTCCCTTTCAATCTTCTTCCTTTTCTCCTTTATTTCAATATAGAGTTTCAGGTTATTATTTTGAACTAAATTGAAGCCCTAAAAATTACATAAATTTCATATTTACTCTTCACCAATGAAAATGTCGAGTGAATCGTCAAAACCATGTTACAGTTCCAGGGTCACGTATTGTTATTGATGAATGAAACTCCCCATTTACAGTTCAAATATGTCTTAGAGCAAAGGAAAGAGATTTTATGGGTATTCGTAAGTGAAAGAGGTAATTTTTATTTTCTAAATTAAAGATTAATAAATTTTAAAAATCTTTTAAATTTAAAATTTTACGAGTGTTCATAATCATATCTAATAGTGATTATTTTAATTGATTTTTTTGTTTACTTGAGTTATTGTTTTATGAGCACTGAGAATAGGTGAATCTCATGTATTTTGGACCTTAAAGAGTAAATATGAAATTTGTGTAATTTTAGGGTTTCAATTTAGTTTAAAATGTTAACTCTAAACACTGTATTGAAACAGAGGAAAAATAAAAGAAGAATGAAAGGGAGAGGAGAGGAGAGGAGAGGAGAGGAGAGGAGAGGAGAGAGTGAGAAGAGAAAAAAGATAGTAACTTTTTATTTTACCATAAATGAGGATCAAAAATATATTTTTATTTAATTTAATCTAATTTATATTTGAATTTAAAAAAAATATTAGAAATTAAATTAAAGGACATTTGTGTTTTAATTGGATAACAATTTTTTAACGATAATTAGACTTAGACATCCAAAAGTATAACAAAAAATGTTATACACCTATTTTTAACGAATTTTTTTAAATACGTAAAGTTAACTTAAGATATATTTGAAACATTTATTTTTACATCAACCCTTCTTATAATTAGTGTGATGGTGATAATAATCTTATCCTCGTACCCCATGTATACAACAAGCCTTGGTTACTTTCTCATTACGAATGAGAGGGTGAATCTTTTTCCAATTAGTAAGCCCCATGTTTTCTTACTTAATGAAATTGAAATTTAAAATTAAAGTTCAAAATTTAAAAAATTAAAATTCATTAAACATAACACAAAATTATATTTTTAGAATAGAATTTAAAAATTAAATTTAAAATTAATATATCGAGTAGTGGTTATTAGCGTGGTTAGTCCTGGTCAGAAGCTGGTAATCTTTGGTCGTTGAATTAGGTAATTTTCTATTTGGGAAATTAAAGTTGGATAATATTATTTAGAGTATTTTATTTTTTAATAACATTCTTTTTTTTACTTGTCTTTTAATTATTAAAAAACATTTGAGAATGGGATTAAGCATTAAGAATGATAAGTGTGTCCTCCGTGGTGCTGAGGCTGAGACTAGGGATCACTTGTTCTTTGATTATGGTTTTGTGAGGGAGTTGTGGGGTGATATTCTTACTTTGTTTGGTGTAACTCGTTGGGTTAATTGTTGGGATAGGGAGCTGGCATGGGTTGTTCACTGCTTTAAATGGAAATCTCTCATTGTGAGGGTGTTTAAGCTTGATTGGGCTTGTCATGTGTATAACATTTGGAAGGAGAGAAATAGTAGGCTTTTTGGGGGCAAAGTTAGATTGGTGGGTGATGTGTTGAAGGACATTAAGGAGGCTATCCAGATTCGGCTGAAAGGATGGGCTATCAGCAGAGCTAATCCTAGGGACGATTCCCTTTGTGTGAAGTGGGGTATTTCTTAAGGTTGTGGGGTTCACTTATAATGGTTGTTTCCTTTGTTGTTTGTAATGGTTGGAGTTAAATAGTTGTTTATGTAGCATGTTTCTTGTTTTTCTTGGGAAATAAAATGGAATTATCCAAAAAAACATTTATTTAATCTACTTCGTAACGCCGTTAAAAGTTTTACGATAAAGTGACCAAAAAATATATGTATAAAATTGAGTGAGTTAATTGGAAAAATTAAAAGCACAATAAATAAATTTGGAGAAAAAATAAAATTAGGTTATTAAATTTGTAATTTACCCATTGAATAAAAATTCACCCTCTCATTCGTAATGAAAAAGTAACCCAAGCTTGTTGTATACATTGGAAAAATTAGGTTATTATCACCGTCACACTAATTATGGGAATTAATGAAAAATTAAATTAAGAAAATGAAATAAAATTGGCCTTGTTAATAAATACCAATGTTTTTAAAATCGGACCGGACATTGAACCGGTGAAGGTACTGGTTCAACCGGATTTTATATAAAATAATTTTTTTTTTAATTTTACATAATATTCAAAGCAATATTAATATATATGTAACATTTTTTAAGTTTACAATATTAAAAGGTATAAAAATATCACAACTCATAACATGTATAAATGAAAAACCATAAAATCAAGTGAAACAAAATGATTCAAATCAACTACAACGTAATATTTAAGGTAAAACATATTAAATAATAAATATAATTATATAACTATAATCAAAAAAATAAAATCGGGGTTTAAAAAAATCATAACAAATGATGTCATTTGGTTTAATTGTTTTAAAAAAAACAATCTCCCATGGCTAAGAAACATAGAAGAGTATCCCAAAAGTTTAAAGAGTAAAAATATGAGAACAAAACAATCCCACATGGCTAAAAAACATAGAAGAGCATCCCAACTTACTTCTATAAATAATAGAGATAATTTGACATTCAAAATCATGGAGTTTTTTGGTGAGCACAAAGCGAACTATTCTTTCGCTTTATTTGAGCTCAAATTTTAGGCTTCAATTGAGCTCAAATTTTAGGCTTCAATCGAACTTCTAAATTTTTTTTTTGAGTTCGAGCCTTTTCGATTTCAAGTTTTAATATTATATTTCGAGTTGATAATTTTTAGCTCGTGAGTTTTTGAGTCGAGTTGAGCTTACTTTTAAAGTTTTCAAGTTCGAGTCGAGCTCAACAATACTCGAATTTGACTCGGCTCGTTGAACAAACGACGTTGTTTGGTTTAAAATTTTTTTAAAGAAAAAAGTGAACCGACGGTTCAAACCGGTTTTACCGGTTTTCAGCCGATTCACCCCGGTTTTCAACCGGTTCTTCCGATTCTTTACCGATTCTGTACTAATCCGGTTTTGGGAGTTAACCGGACCGGACAGGCCACCGGTTCATGGTTCAACCGGTCGAACCGGCCAGTCCGGTCCGATTTTAATAACATTGATAAATACCTGCTCATCCCTGGGATCATATACTGCAAAATCCTTTTGCTTTATCGGAATTCGAAAAGCTGGCATGTGTATGGGTGATTCTTCATGTTTGAGTTTCGCAGTAAGCCTAATGGCCTTACGCGTTTGGCTGGTGTCGGATGCCAGTGAAGTTGCCGCCGCCGCCGGTGGCCGCTCTATCATGAGAGGAGAAACTCTTTTGGCTAATGGACTTTCTCGGACACCGCCTATGGGTAAGCTCTTATTCTATAATTATTATCGTATCTTTTCTTGTTTAGTTTTTTTTGTTAATTTCATCACATGTACTCAAAGTATGATTCTCATTTTAAATTAATCTCTAAACTTTTAAATATTCCAATTTGATACCTATGATTATCATTCTAAATTAATCCTCAAACTTTTGAACATTTCAATTTGATCCCCAAACTATGACCTTCATTCTAAATTGGTCCCTAAAATTTTTAAACATTCAAATTTTATCCCAAACTATACATATATGCTAATAACATCCCTTGTTAATAAAAATGTTAGGCCAAGTTATATTATTATGTTTGAAAAAAACAAAATTTAGGTTAAAATATGATTGAAACTAATGAATTTGGCGATAAAATTGGAATATTAAGAAGTTTGAGGACTAATTTAGAAAGGGGTCATAGTTTAGGTATGAAATTATAATGTTTGAAAGTTTAAGGAATAATTTAAAATGAGAGTCATAGTTTGAGGATAAAATTAGAATATTTAAAAGCTTAAGGACCAATTTAATATACAAATTATAATTTGGGGACATATGATGCAATTAACTCTTAGTTTTAAAAATATTACTATGTGATTGCTTGATGATCAGATGGAACAGTTGGAATCCTTTTGGTTGCAATATCCAAGAGAAACTAATAAAGGAAACATGTATATTTAATAGAGTTAATATTTGATGTATTAATAAATTTATATTTATTGAATTTAATTTTTCTTTATTAATTAATTTTAATATGGGTTTTATTTATAGTGGATGCAATGGTGTCAAGGGGACTGGCTAAACTTGGATACAAATACATAAATTTGGGACAAACAATTGTTGAATGTCTCTTTAATTCTAATAGAGTTAATTGCATCCAATGTACTCAAAGTATGAATTTAATTTTAAATTGGTACCTAAATTTTTTGATGTTCCAATTTCATCCCTAAACTAAGACTATCATTCTAAATTAGTCCTTAAACTTTTGACATTTGTTTCATTCCTAAAATATGACACTCATTCTAAATTGGTCCTCAAACGTTTTGAACATTCCAATTTCATCCCAAACTATATGTATATAGTAATCACATTCCTTGGCAATAAAACCATTAGGCCAAATTATATTATTATATGTTTGAAAAAAAATTAGGTTAAATTATGGTTGAAACTAATTACACATTTGGATGAATTTGGGTATGAAATTAGAATATTCAAAAGTTTGGGGGACCAATTTAGAAAGATGATCATAATTTAAGGATAAAATTAGAATATTCAAAAGTTTAAGAACTAATTTAGAGTGAGTCATAGTTTAGGGATAAAATTAGAATATTCAAAAGTTTAAGAACCAATTTAAAATAAAAGATATAGTTTGGGGACATATGATGCAACTAACTCATTCTAATTCAATTTCAATGAAAAAATCTTCACCGCTAATTAGTTTATTTTTCCTTCATGTTCTTCTGCATATCTTTCAGATGATTGTTGTGGCGCGTCTAGTCGAAACACCGATGTACTCAACCTTTCTGCATTATTTTATTTTATTTACAAATTAATATTTAAATTATACTTGTTTTCTCATATTATGTTGCAAAATACGGCTATTGAATAGAGCAAAATCGCAACTAATAATTTGAGAAAATAAAAATGAAGATAAAGAAGACACAAATTTTACGTGGAAACCCCCTAAATAATATAGGGTAAAAACCACGGGCAACGACAGAAGAATTTCACAATGAGAAAATAGGAATTACAACTTCTCTCGATCTAACAAGGAGAAAACAATGATAATTCTCTCTTGATAAAAAGGAGAAAACAACTCTCAATAAACTCTCTAAATTCTCAAGTATTGTCAGAAAGCTAAAATGATTTGGGATTATTTTGAAGCTAAATGGGATAGAGTATTTATAGTTGAAGCTTAAGTGTTGAGTTAATCGATCGATGGAATATGCCAATAAGGGGTGAATTGGCAATTAAAATTTTGGTGGAAGCTTTTGCAGAAAATTGAAAGAAGTTGCACAACAATTTAGAGTGGTTCGACTTTCTCAACCAAAGTCTACGTCCACTACCTTAGCTATCTACACTAAGGATTTTCCAACAAATTCACTAATTTGTTCTTTCTTTTGAGGCCAAAGAGATAACCTTACAACTCCCTCAAGAATATACCCCAATTCTTAAGAACACTCTTTTTCAAAGAGAAGATTACAAATTTGCAAACTTACAAGGAAAACCTCACAAGGTAGATTGTTTGCACAATTCTAGAACAAAGAAAGAACACTCAAGAATAAATACAATTGAGTACAAGTAGTGTTCTTGAAAGCAAGAAGAATATTGAATGAAAAATAGGCTTGAAGTGCTCAAACAATGAGTTTGATGTTTTCTCTTTGATTCTCACTTGATTCTTGTTTCTTGTTGTTTCGACTTGTTGATCAATGGCTTCTAAGCTTGTTTAAATACTCCTTCAATTGATTCTGAACGTTGGGGATGATTAGTGGAGTCAATAGATCCGTTTAAGTGTGATAACAATTAATAAAACCAGTTGGGAGTGTCCGTGCATCGATGTATACACAAGGTGCATCGGTGCATCAAGTGTAAAATTTAAATATTTTGACTGTTGGACCCTTAGTGCATCGGTGCACTAAGAGTGCATCGATGCATAAAATGCATTCGATGTTTCAAAAGAGCTTGAGTGCATTGATGCATCAAATGGATTCGATATTTTCATAAAACCATGAGTGCATCGATGCATGGATAGTGCATCGGTGCATAAACTGCATTCGATGTTCAATTTATTCATTGGTGCATCAATGCATGGATTGGTGCATCGGTGCATCCCTTTGAAAAATTGATTTTAGGATTGATTTTGGTTCAAAATATTTTGTGAAAATTGTTTCAAAAATATATTAAGCATAAAACACAATTTTACACATTTAGTAAGGTTTGAAATTGATCTTGAAAAACTTGGAGTAATAATTTGATATTCGATTGATTGAATCGAATATACTTATAAAATCTTAAAATTCAATTATACTTAATTTGTTATATCGAAACGTCAAAAATTTTTCAACAATCTTCCCCTTTTTGATATAACAAAATATTTGTGTAATTTTAAGATTTTCTTTGAAAATAAATTTTGAAATCAAGTTTGAAAATTTCTCCCCTTACTATAACACTTCTCCCCTTTAACCATTTTACACTTCTCCCCCTTTTTGTTAAATAAAAAATACTCTAAGACGTTTTAAACAAGGTTTTGAAATCAAAACATACCCAATTGATTATTAATAAATATAACTTAAACTGCTAAGATCAAAGATCAA